CGAGTGCTTTGTTTGGAACATGGGAATATCAAATAGAATCAAAAACCCTTTTCTCTTAGTCATATTACATTGAATTGGAGTGAATGACATTTTAGAGGCATACTTGGCTTGGAAGAGTCATGCCCAATAATAAGATGCTTACATTTCTTTTGTTATTTTGGTTTTCATTCCATTTTTTTTTGGCATTTTGTCATCTTCCTCTTTACTTGACGTCTTTCTGCTACTTTTTTACTTGTGCTTTAAGATTAAATATAGTAAAAAAATGCTTACAAAATGGAAAGATTCAAATGGCAAGTGGCTCAACCGGTATATAAGCCCAAAAATATACGTTCTTATTTAATTGCATTCTATTTTTATTATCCACTTATTATATATTTATGAATAAGCTCTAATACAACTCTTTTTTTGCTTTTATGTGTTTTTGCGAGGTACTTTTTGAAAGCAAAGGGGAAAGAGCATTGGAGCATTAGACATAGGAGCATGGACAGTCGGATCCGAGCATTAGTCACTCTCATTCAGTCTGGTTGGGGTGCTATAGGAGGAACTATTGGGTCATAGCCCCGGTGCTTTTAAGTCTTCTTAAAACTTAAAAAGCCTTTAGGAGCCCTCATGGTTGAACGCTCCCCATCTTCTAGGACCTTATAGAAACTTCATTTATAACTAGGATTTCTTTCTTTTATTTTAGATCCCTAAACTTGTTGACACACATACGAACGTCCAAAGGATTAGAGATGAACACTCTTTTGTCCCATAACTCTAGTGACAACTAAGGACAAAAATTAAGGATCGAGTCTTAGATAACATTGACTTAGGTTGCATGCTCCCTATAGGATGGAGATATTAAACATAGAAAATTTAATGACACATCTTCCTAAGATTAGTGTGCCTTAATCCATTAATTATCAACCAACAAAATAATTCATAATTCAACTCTTAAAATGCATCAAAACACTTTATTTTTAATTAAACCATAATTAACTTGTATAACTACAAAAAAATGCAAAACTTAAATCAAGTTTAACTAATCTATTAATCAACCTCTAATCAACCTAAAAATTAAAATATATAGACTAAATTAGGAGAGCAAACCTAAACTAAAACTTGCTTGGATAAAAGACTCCTAATATTAATCAAACCTTAAGCTAATCTTTTGAAATCAATCAACAAACCTCTTAATTAGCAAATCACCTAATTTACCTTTCTTTTTAATTTACAACCAAGTAAATTAACTTAACAAAATTAGTTACTATTGGGCAACCCAGGCATACGAGGCTATTAAGTTAGCCCCAAGGAGGGTGAAATAAATCTCATGGCCTCGTTGAGAAATAAAGGTGGTAATCAAGTGAGCACTAAAATAAATTCTTAAAATTAATCTTAAAACACTAATACTTAAATTTAAATTTAAATTCTCCCTTTGACTTTTAACAAATTAAAATACAAACAACTTTAACTAAATCATCCTACATAGGACATACCCAAAACTATACGCCTGTTACACACACCTAGACTTATTTGTTAGGACACGACTTCTAATTCTAGGTTAGGCCGATATTTTCTTTTCTTTCTATCTCTGTGATGTGATGCCATGCATGTGAAATATGTGATGTTTATTATGTTGTTTATTTAAGTTTTCTGTGAATATGATTATTATTAGTTCTTTTCCGCACTGTGTTGTGTGTGATAGGATACTCATAGGTTAGGAATGCTTTTGATACTGATGATGTTTCCTACAGGTGGCCGTGCTTACACAGTGCTAAAGGGGGCAAAAAATTAATAGAAATATGTAACTGCTACAGATGCTTAGCCCCAAAATAAATAAGAGCACGATCAAGTGTGGCTAATTTGAGCAATTTTATTTCATATTTAATTGCTTGGATGTTTTGATTATAACTGCTTAGGATAACTTTGTAGGAGAGTTTAGATTTTTTTTCATAATTATGATATAATAATTTAATGTTTTCATAATTTTAATATAATTATTTAATGTCATGAGTTGTGAAAATATATAAAACAAGATATTTTTAAATATAAAGGAGTCCATAGAGAAACGAAAGTCTCTTATAGATACTTTCTTTTCATTTGGACATCCTTTTGGAGGACACACTACGAGACACCCGAAGGAAGACGATCCATAGACGAATCAAGAAAATGAGTATGAAGATCGAGATAAAAAATGTCTTGTTTTAAGATTTGTGTCATTCCCTAGAAGTTGAATCTGGGTTATTTTCTATGCAGCTCGGCCACCAATACTTTTCTACACTCTAGTTTGTATATTGAATGACACTTGTCATGAATTTTGGACACTATTCTAATGATTTTTTATGATGTTATGTTTACTTTGATTGTGTAGTAGAACTGACATATTTTTTTCATAGGTTTCTTTCTTGCATGCGCATGTGCCTAACTCGTTAAGCTCTTAGGGATAAAATTTTGCTACTTATAATTACTAATAAAATTTTAGAAATTAAATAACATAGAAATATAACGATATAGGGAATAGTCGGAATTATTCGGGGTCGCATGCATATCAATGCATCACCTTTTCCTTGTTTAGACATTTCCCCGCCTGCAGATAGAGTCCGAATAATATGACTTATAAGATTGAAGTGCCGGACCTGGGGAAGCTAAGTATTTCAAAAGAAATTATTTTTATAATCCTTTTTTAAAATTTCATGCATCTTCTTATTTGGATACTTTAATTAGCATGCATCGTATTTGTAACTAACTAAAATTAAAAATTAATTGCATTAGTTTTAGATGCATAACACCACTCATAAATACGAGGCCATTTAGGAACTTATCTAGATGTCAGCCTCAAATTCAAAAAATTTATCCACCCACCCATCTTTCATATAGACCGAAAATTATGGATTTTATACGTCTAGGTGGTTTTAGCTGACTTCCTTTTCAGGCAAGGTATAAATCCAAATCGTATTAGTTAGATCGTGGATGTTAGTGTCCTATGTACTATACTATAATTCTTATAAATTTAGGGTCTAAGTCTAACAAAATTTGGGTACTGCTGTACGCCTTTTTGGTGGGTAAGCTTTCTACTTTTTAGAGGCTATAAATTCCACCCATCTGCGTCACATGGATGACACCACCTCCCTCTTTCTTTTATGCGTGCTTGAATGCAATTGTCTTTTCTTTCTCTCCAGTTTTTCCTTCTCCAAAATGGCTGGGTGATGATATTGAGCCACATATATTGATTAAACCAAATTGAGTCTATCTTCCCCTTTAATTAGAAAAGCCTAGAAATTCCTCTATATGCTAAACTCATTTGAGAGAATAATATAACATCTTTAATCGAGAGTTTTCTTAGACCGAGGTCTAAGATATAATTAACCACGGGGGCTTGTGCCCGTGGATCGATCCACACATCAAATAAACCCCATTTGAGCTCATGTATTGAATGGGGGAAATCTCATGATATTTTGAGTTATACATATTATTATCCATCGAGGTGCGTAGGCGAAAACCGCTATCCTCCATGGCTAACCGTATATATGACTCTATCTGCTCTTCCATTGGCCTATTTGTGTAGAGTATAATGGCCTATAATTGTTTTGTCCTACGAGATAGGCGGTCGTACCCTTTGCATTCGAACACCATGAACAGAATCCTTTAGGAGACCCACAATTATATGTTCTTATTTTTATCAATTATATTTACAGTTTTTTATGTCACTAGCATAATTTAGTTCACTAATAATAGTATCTTTTTTTTTTTGGGAAAATAATAATAGTATCTTAAATTTAATTTTTTTTTTTTTGAACCAATAATAGTATCTTAAATTTAATTTTTTAAAAAAATTGGCTTAAACATGATGGTTCACTAGATTAATTTACTTGCTTATCATGAATGTCTCCAAACTTTAATTTCAATTTGCTTTCACACAAAGAAGACAACATTTTTATGAACTAAGTGGATCGCCCTCTTGTATTAGAATCATCTTGATGATGTAATTGTTCTCAACATACACTAGATTGAAATCATCAGTCATACTTCTATATTATTATTTATGATCAAACAAATCTAACTAAAGCTTTTTGAGCTCATGGGTTCAATAATAAGAATATGTATGATATGGCCCATGTCATTATGATGTGTTACAACTTAGATTTAGGCTTCATTTGGAACGGCTTTCTTACTGCTTCTTAAAAGCAATTTTTTAGCAACAAAATTTTAATTTTTGCACTAAAAAACTACTTTAAAAAACACTAAGAAAACAGTCCCAAACAAAGCCTTAATGACGTGTTACAACTTAGATTTAGGCTTTGTTTGGGACGACTTTCTTACTCTTTAAGGAAATTTTTTAGCACAAAAATTTTAATTTTGTAATAAAAAACTACTTTTAAAATGCAATAAGAAAGCCGTCCCGAACGAAGCCTTAATGCATTACATATCAGCTTATGATCTATTGTATCATGCATTGTGTTTTTAATTCTTGAATTAATCTGTTATATCGACTTTATAAATTACTTTCCTATGCATCCATAATAGTTATCTACTGTGTCAGTTTTTGTATAACTATGTTGTGTCTACTAGGCCAGCTCATTGTTGCCATAATTGTTTGCATTTTTCCTATAAATAATTATGTTATAATTCATGTACAATAGCTCTGTTATATAATAATTCTTGTATTACTCTATTATATAAACTTGTAATATGCCATCTTAATTATTGTGATTGCACTATTTTATATCAACTACTATTATTTTTGTTTGAAAAAGTTAATTAAAAAAAAAAAAACTACTACTATATTTGATAGAATGAAATTTGTTCTATCTATCATTATTAGATGTTATTTGAATCATATTCGAACATTGTTCAAATATTGGAATACTACTTTAATCTTGGTCAAAGAAGTTCAAATTCTCCTCAAATAATGCTTAAGGTAGGTTAAAACTAATGTCCATCGATACAAACTTTAAATTAGTTGTTTGCATAAAAAATAAGGATGCTTTGTCGAAATATTTGCTAAGTAAATAGTGGCCAACTTATTTTTTCAATTTCCATTAGCATAAGCAGACAGTGAAATTTCCCAAAGATGTTGTATAAATATAACAGTATAACCACCATTTGCTCATAGCAAGGCGAAAAGAATAAAAAACAACTAACAAAACAGTAACAACTTTATAATACATCAGAAAAATCGCCAATATTTTCTACATTTATGAAGTAGAAATGGAAGTGCCAAGGCGCCAAAAAAGAGAGTCGGCCGTTTTATCCCCCTTCACGTTAGAAGTTCAGCGAACATGCAGATCCAAAGCTAGTACCGGAAAATGGAGATACTAGCATCTGCTGATAATACCGGTAAGATTTTCCTCTGCTGCTATATTTGAACAAATGTTATAAATACAATGATTTTAATAAATGAAGAAGAGAAACTAATGACAACATGAAGAATATTAACAATGCAAAGAGCACGTTCCACTGAATTGCAGCATACAAGTCCCGAATTATAACTTAAACCTTTCTAAATTATACACGGATCAATCATAAAACAAAACTGCTCCTGACCCTGCAAAAAGGAAAAATCGCTCATTTTTTGGCATATGATCAGTAAATCAAAAAAAAAAAAAACCTTGAAGGCGAAACAATATGAAGTTTAAACCAAGCTTTATGAACACAAGAGGGCAGAGTTGCATTGCCACACAAAAGGGGAAAAAACGCCATTCTCTTATGACGTATACCAGTCCGGCAAACCAGGCAATCATAAATTTCAGCTTATAACTCAAAGATACATATTTAGCAACAAAACGTTTTTAAAATTGAACAAAGTCCTAAAACTAATCACCACAACTTAGGTAGCATTTATATGGTGGCATCCTTAAAAGGTGTTCCCGCCTACGTGTTTGCTGATGGAGAATATGGCATCCATGTCAATACCTTTTTTTTTTTTTGGGGACATTTAGGCTATTTAAGGCAAACTCACGCACACAACACATACACAAAGACCCAAACCTAATACCTTTTAGTTGGAAGCCTAATCTCTCAACCAACATGTCAAGGTGAGTTGTGTTCCATGTCAATACCCGGGTAGGCATGGCTCAGTTCATAGCGAGGCATGATGGTGGAGACTCACACCTTTGAATCAAATATAGGGCTGTAATTGAGAATAGCCAATTTAAGCATACTACGGATTGGACTTGACTGGTAATTTTAAAAGTTATTCAAGTCCATATATTCAGTTTTAGATCTACTCAAGCGAAAACCTTTAGACTCAAAGGTTGACCTCCATAATTCAAGTTTACCTTCAACTACCTCTCTAGTCTTATCAATAAGAAGAATATCATCAGCATAAAGCATATACCAAGGTACATCCTCTGCCAAATGTCTAGTGAGAAAATAAATGACTAAAGCAAAAAGATACGGACCTAAGGCTGATCCTTGATGTAATCCAACCGAAATAGGAAAATACTAAGTCAAACCACCTTGTGCTTGAACACAAATACTAGCTCCTGCATACATATATCTATAATGATTTGAATATAAGCATTATTAACTCATTTCATTTCAAGAACTCACCATAGCACTTATCTTGAAACTTTATCATATGCTTTCTCTAAATCAATAAATATCATATGTAGATCCTCCTTATTCTCTCTATATTTCTCCATCAAATCTCTTAATAAATTTATGGCTTCCATAGTAGACCTATCTGGCATAAATCCAAATTGCTTTTGAGAAACATTAGTATCACGCCGCAACCTACGCTCCATAACACGCTCCCATAGTTTTAAAGTATGACACATTAACATAATTCTTTTATAATTCGCACACTCCTATGCATCAACTTTATTTTTAAAAATATGAATTAACACACTCATTCTCCACTGATCTGACATCTTTTATCTTCAAAACAGTATTAAAAAGTTATAGTAAGACAAGAAAATCCTTCATCTCCTAAGCATTTCCACATCTCTATTGAAATATCATCAGGTCCAAGAGCTTTTCCACACTTCATTTTCTTTAAAGCTTCTCTAACTTCAGTTTTACTAATACGCCGATAAAAACAAAATCTTTATTTTCATTTAGGGTGTTAAATTCACTAAAGTCAATCGCATTTTAACTTTCTTCATTAAAAAGTTTAGCAAAATATTTCAACCATTTTTGTTGAATATCATCTTCTAAGAAAAGTACTTTTTGGTCTTCATCCTTAATACACTTCACTTGAACTAAATCCTTACTACTCATATCTCTTTGTTTGGCTAATTTATACATGTATCTTTCTCCCTCCTTAGTATCTAATCTATTATATAAATCATTAAAAGCTAAGCTTTTTTGCATCGCAAATAGCTTTCTTAGATTCCTTACGAGTCTCTTATACCTTTTCCAATTATTAGAATTTTTATATATAAACTAATTTTTATAACAAATATTCTTATTTGTTATATTTTCTTGTACATTTGGATTCCACAACCAACTTTTTTTATTATTAGGAATTTTTCTCATCGAAACTCTAAGCACATCTTTTGCAATATTCTTAATATCACCAGTCATTTTTCCCAACATAATATTAACATCCTTATGCACAGATAAAATCTTAAAATCTAAAATCTTATTCTAAAAAATATTTTTGTTAATATTCTTTAAATGCCCCAATCTAATCCTAAAAAATCATTTTACTTTATTTCTTAGTTTTTGCCCCTTTAACTTAAAGTCCAAAACTAATAATTAATGTTGGGTACATAAATTGCTCTCTGGATGAACCTTGGTTCATCTTGTACGATCCAATGTTTTATTTAAGTTGATCGTATTGTATGATTTATAATCATATAGAATGATCTATAGCGGTAATGAACTAATCGTACTGTATGAATAAAGTTGATAAAATTAAAATTTAGGGTTTTAAGAAGCCCACTATTTAGACTCTTAAGTCATTTTGATAGGTCTTCTTGCAGTCAAAGGTTTGCTTCTGTTGCTCCAACCAACAGTGGGCTTCTTAAAATGAGAAGTGTTTTCACACTGTTGCTCCAACCAACTTGCATCTGAGTTCCTCCATGTGCATTGTTCGTCTTGAGAGAAGCTCTATGAAGAACACTTTGTGCCAAAGAGTCGCTTACTACTCCGCCACACTAGACACTAGGAAGGTGAAGGCGACATGGGCTACTCCACCGAACTGGGAGCTCTCCTTCGCAGGAGGTTAAAAGAAATTCAACTCTCCGCCAAAATGAGGTGAAAGGGATTTCGGCTCTCCGCACACTGAATAGGTGAAAGTGATTTTGTAAGGATTTCTCTGTCTAATCATGGGGGCTGAAGGAGAGTCATTATTTTTTAGAGCAACAACCGAAGAAGACTTTGGGAAGTGGATGTTGGTCAAGTTCATCAAATCACTATAAAAATCTAATTTACGATTTTTTACTTTCCGCATGCTTCCTGCAGATTTACTTTCTTACACATTTACTTTACCACAAATCCGGGTTGAACATTATTATCATTGTGTTACAAGATCATTGTGATTGTTTTTTATTCAATCTTTGTTTTAAAAAGACAAAAAAAAATTAGAAAAATAAAAACAAAAATAATTATTTGTTTTCTTTACAAAAATCAAAATAAAAATTTAATATTTTCCTTTGATTAACATTGTGAATTTTGATAGGTTTCGCATTGAATTTAATTTTTTTTTTAATTTAAAAGTTTTGAAAAATATTTTTAAGATCAACAATTCAGCCCCCCTCTCTTGATGTGTCATTGCATAGTTCAATTGATTTCACAACCAATTATTTAACTTTCAAATATTAGTCATTAGATGCTTAGTACTTAACTTAAAATACCATCAATTTTTATTTTCAAATAGAGAAATTTACCACTATTATGTGCTAAAAAATTTGCATCCATAGATTCTCATAAATATAATTATTCATAGTTGAAGATAGAGATTTCATTACTTCTAACAAATTGATTGCTAAGACTATAAGATATTAATATCAAAACTTCTACATCAACTTCCAACAAGCTCTTAAAGTTTGACTACGAGATTTATTGGATTTTATGATTCTAATTTTGTATGGTGTAGGGTGGATAGAAAGAGCGCTTCTAGAATTTGCCAATTCATAGGACAATCCTTAGTATCTTGGTCTAGAAGAAAACAAAACTCTGTTGTACTTTTCACTACTGAAGCTGAGTACATTGCCCTAGGAAGTTGTGTGACTCAAGTTCTTTGGTTGAAGTAATGAAATCTAATAAAGATAGTGTCCCCAATAAATTAATATCTTAGAGGAACAATTTCAAGGGTGACATAAAGAAGTCCTTTAAGGAAGCACCACTACAATCTATCTCAGAAGAGCCACAAAAAGATGAATATGTTTCATCATGCATTTATAACATACGAAAGGTTATTAAAGATTGAGGTTCGTAAAAACTGAAGAGGTTAATGGCTGAAGCCACAGTCCCACACTCAATTCACTTCCAAAAGAAAAGTGTTTCAGGGAAGCCTCGTAGTGGGGATCTCAAACATTACTCTCATTATCATGATACAAAAAAATATTACCTGCACTACAGATAATGTCCACGTTATGATAGGAAGTGGCAAAGAAAATATCATAGCAAGAATCCTGGAGAAAATTATGCTCACAGTTGTAGAACGCCTCGATAACCTTACCAAAGGCCAATGTCTCATGATATACACCTCAGGCCGGCCAAACATTGAACACTATGTGACATCTAACTCAAATCAACTGGAAAGTAGACTAGAAACTCTTCAAGAACTAACATTAATAATCCATAGAGATGATGGAATGGTTAAAAAAGCCCAAATTGAAAAACTCATTACCTAAAAGGTTAAAGCAGCCATTCTTTCTGAGACTACTGGAGCCTTAGTGGGCAAAGTTCGACCATACCCAATTGAAATATGATCTTGTATAATATCCTAAAGGATATGTTGTGTCAAAGTTCAACATGTTTGCTGATACCAAAAACTCCCGACAATGTTTAGCTTAATTTAAGGCCACTTGTGGCAATACTGAAGGGAATGATACCATATTACTATGTTAGTTTGTTAACAACTTCAGAGGAACTGTCATGAATAGTATGCTGAGTTACCTAAAGACTCTGTTAAGACATTCAAATAATTGGATATAATGTTTATTAAAAGATTTGCAAGTGCTACAAAAAAATAACAATTCTATACCTTGCTTTTAAAAAAACAAAGAAAAGTTAAGACTGTCAATAAATATATCGCAAGATGAAAAATTTTTTGCATGAGATGTAAGCAACACCTCACTGAAAAGCATGTCATAGAGCTTCTTATGGGGGACATCAACAATTAAATGGCATGGCCACATTCAATACCTTCCAATAATTATTAGATTATATGGCGAAATCTGAAAGGTTGCCCAAACCTAGAAGTTTTAGTAATAACTATAATGATAGCTCAACGGGAAAAGGAAAGCAAGTCAAAACCTATGATCCAAGAAAGAATGAGGAGAACACTGTTCATTTTCTCTACTAACAAAAAAGAAAAATGAGAGTCAACTATCCCACTAAGATGATGAAGCAAGGAAGAAAGATCAAAAGGCTCCAACCTTCCAGAAAAAAAAAATAAGCCATACTCCAAGAAAAAATGCACTACAAAATTTTTCGGCATGCACTCAAAATGGGACTCTAATTGCCATAATCTCAGTGACCTGAACAAGCCAATATAGTCAATAATCTGAATTAATGCTCATATCAAAGGGTAATTAGCCTAAAGAATGAGGCGAGATATCCGAGATATCCAATATATGGTATAGTAAAAAGTAACATTTTTATATATTTGAAGTAGTAATTATTTTCATATTAAGCATATTGATTATTTGCTTATGCACTTGATTTCTACAATTGTTAGTTGATGATTATTGGACATACAAATGAATATTATGAAAATGTAAAGATAATAAAAAGTAAATGATAAAAATCATATTATGGAGGATAGGCCCGCACAAATAAAGCTGAAAGACATGACGAGGTAAGTCTTAGAGATCGTACCTGAGGTACCCGACTCTCTCAATTCTAAAAGTTGAGAATTCAGAACCAACCTTGAATGAAAGAGCTGTAAGTGTGCAAAAACCTATAATCATCATATAATTTACCTATAATATTGGAAAGTGAATAGAACATGAAATGTGAAAAGTTAAATATGCATTGATTTCTTATATAGCTTATGATTCTTATAGAAATCTCAATATTATTTACAACTAACTGCCTATTTTATGTTTCTTATTGCTTGAATTATGGTTGTATATTTCATTTAGTTTTAGCTCATTAGAAATGATTGTACAGCAAGAAAGTAGGAGCACACAGGGCTCTACGAAGGAGGGTGAAGGCATTTTTGTGTACATACGTTTGGGTAGTGCATAGAAGCCAGAGTGTGAATTTGTGCAGTTAGACTTTTGGGTATGTAACTTCTTTGAAAGGATTAGTACAACTCTATATTTTATTTGATGTGTTTTAAATATGTTTCAAAGTATTAAATATGTAGATGATTTGTTAACACTAAAAAAACTATTATTTTAGGATTGTCTGAATTGATTATTTCTTACTCACCCAATTTTAATAGAAGTAATTCATGATGGTGTTAGTAAGAGATATATCTGTTCGGATTCTCCTTATTTGTTACACTTCAGGTTGACTGAAGAAAGGTTAAAATGAGGTGTGACAATCATGGCCATTTAAAATTTGGGCATGGGCACCAATGTAATTATAGCCTTATAGACCTACTATTTTTCTCAAGGCACAAATTTATCCTTGCTATCACTAATTATTTCTCAAAATGGATTGAATCAATTCTCTTAAGGAAAGTTAAAGCAGACAATATGATGAAGTTCTTTTGAGATTATATTGTATATCAATTTGGGGTGCCACATCAAACCATATTCGACAATGGCATGATCTTTTAGAATGCAAAGATCTACCAATTTATTCAAAGACATAAATAAATTGGTACTACTCTTCAATTTATAACCTAAGAGCCAATGATTTGGCTGAGGCTTTTAACAAGACATTGATGAAATTACTCAAATAAATCCTCTCTCAAAATAAGAGAAAATGACATGATGAACTAACGGAAGCTTTATGGGCACATCGCCCTACTTATAAAACTATAACAAGCAACCTCATATTCAATAGTTTCTAGAACAGAAGCAATACTACCTTTTGAGGTTGAGTTACCATCTCTTCGTATTGCTATTAAATATAGATTCACAAAAGAAAAAAAAAAGCTCTCTTACGAATTAATGAGTTGGAAGCCCTAGATGAAGTTTAAGTTTAAGACCAATAAAATTCAGAAACCAATAGAGAAAGAATGACTACGTCTCATGCTCAGATGCTTCGCACTAAAAGTTTCAAAGTGGGTGAACTTATTCTAGTTTGCTGAAGAACTATAATTCTTCAATATTGCCTTGGTGAAAAATTTGACCCAAGTTGAGACCTTTTATTATATAAAAAATTTGTGAAGGATAGGCTTATCAACTTATAAATTTGAAAGGTCAAAGTCTTATAGCTCCAATCAACTTTCAGTATTTGAAGAAATATTATACATAATAATCTATTAAGTATCGTACTTAAAATCCAATGTAAAAATAAAAGATGCTTTGTATGCATAAATATACATTCATTTTCAATGAAACTCTCTATTACTACAATAAAACATTTAAACTGCATTGTGAAACCCCCTACAAACACCCCTTATCTTGGAAGGGTTTCACAATGGACTTGAAATGCTATATATATATATATATATATATATATATATATATTTCAATTTACAAAACTATCATCCTATTGTAAACTATATTGCTTCACTTACTATCTAACAGGCTTGTTAAAAAAATTTAGCATGAAAATTTTTAGTCTTTCGTTAACTTTAAATAAGTTAAAGCAAATACTATGTTTAATTTGTATGATGTTGATAATGTCCTTTTGCATTTGGATATTTTCTATCTTATATTATTGAATTATTAATAAGTTATTTATTTTTTTAAATAATTTATACTATTTTTAAAATACTCTATGCCATGCTATGTGTTTTATCTCAATAGAACCTTTACACTATGGTATACTATTCACTATTGACATGTGAAATTGTAACCACACTTGTAAAATTTGTGGAAAAAATAGTGCTTTGTTGCTAAATACAACTTTTATTTTATCTCAGTAAAGGGACATAATATTAGGCAAGTGCAAATAGATTCTCACTAAAATTAAAATACAAAAAATATGAACATTAAGAAATTCCAATTTAAATTTATGGTGAATATTTCAAAATCGTTATAACAAATATTTTTCATTTTTTACTTCAGAAATTGAAATCCACGCTATTCTATGCTTATGAATAAAATAAATAAATTTATTTTAATGTTTGAAAATGCTAATCTTATATTTGAAAGGTGAAAATAGCATGAAATATAGCCCAACTAATCCATACTACATGTACATACGCATAAGGACGAATTCCGATAAATAGATCAGAAGAATGAACTTTTGAACGGAAACTAATAGTTGCCTATAGATCTTCAAGGTTCAACAGCTAGCATAAGATTATGCAAGCTTAAATCAATCCAAAACATGTTATGATTAACCTCTTTTTTGGATATTGATAGACCGGTGCAACTGTGGGCTCCGAAAATTCGGCCCAGCCCTCCGCCCGCGCGACTGTTTGCTTTTGTTTTGGCGAGGGAGTTTTAACGGACTAAGTTCCGGGGTAAATTCTGGAAGGCAGATGAGTTTGTAGATAAGACACTACCCAGAGATTTCGCCCTCATTTTACGAGGACTTTATGATCTGAGTTCTGGTTTCCTATAGGCGCAAGCCCCTATAGTTAATTACCCCTCCCGATAACGAGAGAGAACTTTCGATTAAGGCTAATCGTCGATCAGATACGTAAAGATACGTGCATCTGGCATATAGTAGCAGCAATGGGCATTTGGAATGGTTGGAGAATTTAAGAATTTGGAGGATTGGAAGATTTGATATTTCAAATTGGAAATTGCACCATCTTGCACTTAAAGCGGATGGTGGGGGAATGGATGATAGACCCGATCAAGATCCCATGGTTCCGTCGTCCCGGACCATCATGGTCCCTGGTCTACTTAGACAGAGGAGGTAGTCGACCCAACCTGACAGAAGGATCCTTGTTGGCAGCCGTGGGTTGCTTCGTCCAAGGGGACCTTGTAGACTTGGGTTGGATATTTGTCTAAGGGGACAAATTTAAATCCACCTTAGCTAACAGAGGGCTTTCTGTCCTATCGATCATATCCTATTGATTCATATCTCAAGGATTTGATGCCATTAAGAAGCATATTGGCGCTGGCCATAACCGGTATTTTGTGGTGCCATTTGGCGGCAAAACAACTCGGTTCAGAGGGCCCCGGGTCATAACTATTTATCCTGCGGTGCCATTTGGCGGCAAACCGCCGGTCACAGGACTTGTAACACGTCCTTACAGGCAGGAGATTGTTTTGAGAATGGATATTAATGATATTCTCAACTAGGCATTTGGCTCTATGTGAGCTAATGTAAATTTTAATTTGTCCACCTCGGCAAACTGTTGAGGAGGGTGGATGGATTTTTGCTTTAAGTATTTGATGAGTTTATTTCAATTTTAAATATTTCTAGGTTTTAGAGATTTTTGGATTTCAGAACTCATGGAGTTTCGAATTTTGATGGGCATTTGAAGTATTTGGAGTGGATCCCTCCGGTTGAGATTTTCATTCAACACGGCCATCATCAAGGTGTTCAGGGTCATTTCTCTTTATTGATTGAACCCTATCAACTCGGCCAGGCTATTGACCGAGGATCAGGTTTCATAGGCTTTGTGCCTTTGTCAGTGAATTATTTTGATTATAGGCCTTGAAGGCCTAATATGAATGTATAAAATAAATATCTCAGTCAACCTCGTGACCGGATATTCATTTAAGGGTTCGAGCCTTGTCAACTCCCGCTTACTCGCATAGGAGGATCGAGCTCGAACTTGAATTCACTTATTGACCCTCACAGCATCCCTAGACGTCATATGTGTACCAAAAACACGCTCGTCGGGGCCCATGCGGGTGTTTGGGGGCATTTTGTAATTACTCATTGAACCTTGTCGACTTCTATTTACCGCTTAAGAGGATCAGGTTCAAATTTATTGACATGCGCGGCATTCCTAGACGTCACATGTGTACCAATAACATGCTCGTCGGGGCCCATGCGGGTGTTAATTATACACCCCCTTTTAGTGTTCCTATGTGTATACATATTACAGTGCATGTGCGGGAGTATTTTTGGAATATTTGATGAGTCTTCTACGACAGCTCGTAGAAGCTCACATTCGTTGTAGTGTTTTTTGTAGAAGGAAGTATGTCGGATATACGACCAATGTTTATCAATAAACTTACAAGCCCCAGTAATCTTCTCTAACTCAATGCCTAAAACCTGGTTGAACTGAGATTCATTCGCTTAATAATGATTTGATCTGGCTTTCTCTTCCCAGAACTTACATTGAACTTGATAGGCATCTACTAGGTTAGACCAGCATCATCATGTTTCTGTTGACTTAAATAAAGAGTCAATCATTCCAATCTTAGATAATTGTACCCTTGTTGATATCCCATATGTTGAAAATCAACAGTTATTGCCTCGAGCGGAGATCGTAGTGATCGGATGCACCTTAGATTGCATAGAAGGAATATACGAAATTCGTTCCCAAATAATTGTTGCAGCTCTTGATGTCATTATAATAGTAGGTGTATTCTCTATTTATAATCATAACTTTAGGCCACCCAATTTTGTGTTAATATTTAGCACTACATTTGTCAAATATTGATCATCAACTTTAATGGGCGTGATGCAGCATGTTCATGGTCGCTTGAGTGCCCCTAGGCATATCACACTATCATTTTCACTTCATATTGTTTGTCGCTCTGCCCTTAATTGACACAGGTGTTCTGAGATGTCCATCGTATGTCGTACATTTATATTGGTAGGAGAATGATGTACTCATGTATAATTAAATGACTTTGATTGCTTGGAGGTAACATTCATCTCAAGCTATTTGAGTACCCCTTTAATGTAGGTATGTTAATGTTGGATGCTCAGTCTTGCTACACTAACCTCAAGCATAAATACATGTATGCATAAGCAGTCTTCCTTCATTACATTCTTTATGATTTTCTAACTTTGCTTGTTGATGAATTATATTTGTTGTAATCCTCTTAACTGTTGTCATTTATTTGGCGGGTCTATCATTCGTAGACAAAGCGGTGCACCTTTTTACATATCTCCTTCCTGCTTAATAAGTGAGTATGTGGGCTTATCATGACTTATTCTCATTCATAGTTGTGGGATGACTTGGTCATGTCCATTACATATGCACTGTCATCCATTCATAGATACTAACATGATGATTACAGGTCTTCTTCATCACTTACAAATATTTGTACTCACCATGATTTGTCACCTTGGATTATAGATGATAAATTGCATGCCTCATCAACTTAACATATTCGTTACATATGGACCATTTTTTTACTTGTTGTATTTTATTGCTATTGAACTGCCATTGATGGTAAGGATACTTTAGCAATTGTTTCATGATTGATATAAGTGCTACACATCAATAAAGTTGACTTGTAAAGTGTCAAGGACACTGCATGCTTCCTTCTGTGCATGTTGTCATCTTACCAAATTATAAACTTATTTCAAATTATGCTCCATATCACTCAATTGGGTCCAAATTTGAGTTAGATTCCATGCCATTTGATTTAAGCTCAAATTTTCAAGTTAGTTGCTTTAATTCAAGTTCAATATGCAAATTCATTTGAGTCTAGATCAAGTCCTCTGTTTCGTTCAAATTCAAGTCCGCAAGCTCAATGTGTAAATTCAAGTTCTATTCAGATCGTTGCTTGAGTTCAAATAGTAAGCTCAAGTCGTATGTCTCCTGTAGTCCTTTGCAAATTCAAGTTCAAATAGGTTGAGTTCTTGTTCATGTTCATTTCACTTAGATTTGAATTCAATTGAGTTCAAGTTTAGTGTCCAAACATTGTTCAAAGTCCTTAAATTTTGGATCCAAATTTCGGCAGCCTACCGGCGTCTCCCCCGTTTAGGGGAAAAACCAAGAGGCAACCTTCCCCTCGATGCTACATGAGCGCTTCAGGTAGGTGTCAAAATGACACCGCGGTATCATTTTTTATTTTTTATCCCCGCCCGCTACGTGAGCGTTTAAGGGTTTTCTTTTTATTATAAGAAGAAAGCACATGTTAGAAATAAGCACAGATTTCCCCCTCTGCACTACGTGAGCGTTTGGGGATACTTATATAAAAATAAAGAAAAAAGAAATTTTATCCCCATCGCCGCAAGCGCCGCACCGGTTTCCCTCCCTACAACGCTACTTGAGCGCGTAGGGGGTTTGCTGGCTCGTTGCTAGCATTGAAGAGGGATTTTTAAATCGTCGCAAGCGCCGCGCCGGTTTCCCTCCCTACAATGCTACGTGAGCGCGTAGGGGGTTTGCCGGCCCGTTGCAAGCCACTTCTTGCCTTAAAGTTCGGCAAGGTTACGGGATTTGGCCGAAATAGCGTGAGAGGGAGAGAGTTACCTTCACAGCAAGCCGCTCCTGTTGTTGCTTCCAACCGAAAATGTCATAACTTCCTATCCGATCGGAAGGGTAGCCGTGAAAGGAGCGAAGTCGAAGGGCACGAAGGAGCCGGAAAAGGGCTCGGGTAGGTTGGCTTCTCCCCTCTCTCTCTCTCTCTCTCTCTCTCTCTCTCTCTCTCTGTGGATCGGCGGGAAACAGGAGGCAGTGACGGGAATTAGGGCAGGGGGTCGTTCGTATGGAGTCCGAGGAGAGGTCGGGAGGAGAATAGGGCTTTGACGTCGGCTTGAGGTCGGGAGAGGGCAGTGGTTCGGGATCAGAGCTTGGAGGAAGGAGGGGCTCGAACGACTTGGGAGATCGAAAGATGGGATCGGGGCTTTCGTGTGTGAGGGAGAGATGTCGTAGTTCAGAAGAACAACCGAGAGCCTTAAGTTGGTTCGGTATTTAAAGACGCTCATGGGAGCGGGATCGAGGAGATCGTGGGATGACTGCAACGGCGCCGTTTACAGAGTCGTAGGACGAGACACTATAGCTGGCGACGCGATTTTTGCAGGATTTGCAGGATGGGCAGTCAGCTTCACAGGTATTTTATATTTGATTCTGATTTTTTTTTTTCATTTCCTTGTGGAGGTCAACAACAACCAAGACCGGTTCAGACATATAGGAGGCGGAATAGGAGAGTTCGGCCCCCTTCTCTGCTGCCCGCCCTATATGGGGTCCACCAATTTAATTAAGGGGATTTCAAGGAGAATTAGGATGGAAAATTCAAACAACAAGGGTGGTTTTGCGTTTTTACCTATTATTGTATTGCTTAAGTATGCTTCGGAGGGAGGTTTAGGGTTTACTTTGATTTTTGCTTAAATTTTCTATTTTCCTAGTGTTTGCTTGGGCTCTAATGGCGTGTAGAGATTTGGAAGAGCTGGATCTTCATCTCTAATAGAAGATCCAATGTATCTCGACATTTTATTTCCGTATTCCAGCAATCTAAAAGACTATTTGAGTGCTTTGCCATAAGATCCTACTCTTTCTTTGGTTCATTTTTGCTGAAATTTTAGATTCAGCCATTAATTTCTGCGTTTGTTTCTTAACAGCTACCTATGCCAGCCTATGATTGAGCCTAACAGCTAACAACCCCTGCCTGATAACATAAGATAAGTGGTCAACAAACTACATCACACAGGAGGGAGAGACGCATTTTGATCGTCTTGTAGGACACAGAATGTACCTATGCATGTAGGAATAATGAATACTATAATTTTTAGCATGATAGTAAATGTATGTTTTCTATTTTTCAAGTAATACTACTTTTTACTCTGCAACTTTTTCTCTCCTTCGCTGAAAAACATGCATATATGGTGTTCTAATATCCTTCTAATTCTTAACATTTTTTATAAATATCACCAAATATTCGTTTTATTAAGTATTCTATATATAAAAAAAATTTGAAAATTTAAGTTATGATATATTATGCTTTTCGGGTCATTCCTTTTGATTTTAATATGTTGTAAATATCAACGTTAAAGCTATAAGGAAAATATAATATCATGCCTTAGCTTAAAAAGGTGAGTTCCTTATCCTCTCTAACTTTCACCCCTACCGTCATGATAGCAAGTTCTTGTTCTAATTATCTATTCCACATCACATCATATAGTCTATACACATTGCACCACTAAATAAACGTGCTGCAAACGGTCAATGTTATTTTAAATTTCCTACTTAAAAGATGATCATAATGTTAACAACTAAGTTGAACAGAACTACCTGATTCAACCTCATTTCTCCATGTTAAACTATGGATTGAAGAAACCAGAACCGCCCACATTAAAAGCAATCAATAATGCTATACTTGTTATAGCAGCAAGCCATGCTAGAGCCAAACCTGAAACCAAAAAAAGCCAAAAATGAGATTAATTGTTACGCAATTTATCAACCAGGAGGGCATTCTAGAAAAAAACATTTGAGCGGAAGCTCATTAAGTAATTACCATTGGATTCTACCAGGGCAGTTGCTGGCTTAACAGGAGGACTATCAGCATTGCGGACACGCTCTCTTAAAGCCATCGATCCAGGGTAATATGATTCATCAGATGCTTTGGGATGACCCGTTTCAGATGTCACAATGCCCTGAAATTCCTCACTCACAAGCAAATCAGCCAAGACATTCATAAAAGACTCTCTTTCCCTTGCATAATTAGGACTGCTTTCACGCTCTCCAGAAAAGTCACTAGCTTGATCATAATCTAAGGCCTCATCATCAGATGAATCGCTTTCAACTTCTCTTTCTACCCAATCATCTTCTTCATCCTCAACATATGCCTTATATGTCAAACGAAGTAATATCTCCCCCGATGACTGCCTTCCAAAATTTCTCCAACCACCTTTCAGAGTTACAATCCTATCAGATGGTACAGTATCTTGAAGGGATCCAAGCTCAACCTGAATGAGTAAAGTAATTTATTAACATGGAAAAAATAAATCATACACCCACAAATGCATCATGTAATTATGCTTTAAAATAAAGGACAAAAGATTAAATGCCAAAGGTCCTCTTTACCCTTTATTTAAAGGGATATAAGAACTACAGAATATGCTACATTAATAAAAATATATAAGAAAATGACTATTAGTACATACTGCCTTAGACATATGTTAGGCTCTAACTAACTTGATAGAAGATTGTATTTGATCTTAAAAGGAAGTGCCCACCGAGGGGCGGAATGTAAAATTCATTTTTGCTTAGTTGTGATGTCTTTTATGATTATTCTGCATCTTGATCATTTATGAATTGTAATGTAATATTATTTAACGATATTTCTCTATTGCATCTCACATCGACTGTTAGGAGTAGGGTTAGGGTGGCATGTGAAACAGGAGAATCTCACTCTACAAGGTAAGTCAACAGTTGAAAAATCATTCACACCCCCTCTCTTTTCAAAGTACCTTGGAGATGATTACTTATGGGTAAGCGTTTTTGAAAAGATTATGAACTTACAGGGAGTAGATGGAGAGGTAGATAACTCCAAGGGAAGCGTCACTCGAGGTGAGAGCTATAATGTGGAATTGTTCTGAGTTCAATGTAAAAATTTTAATGTATTAATAAAATCTTTATGTCTAAACAGCTGATCTACCTTTGTTGTAATATTTTCTTTCCATGCTACAAGTATATTATTTATCTTATTTTAACAAATGTGATGTTTTCTATCGTATGATAATTATCTTACTTTATAGTGTTGCAATGAGTACCGTAACTATGAGGTTATGGTGAATTCCAATGTATGCCCTTTTGAGTAGTGAGTAAAATACATAGAATATTTTTAAGAATTTTAGTTTTTCATTATCTCAACAAGCTTTTCCTATATTTTCTAGAATGGCAGTTTTGTTACTTAATCACTAGAAGATAACACGATATAGAAACTTCACAGTGAAGGGATTCCATGGTGAGGTCCGAGGTAAGTGACTCGCGAGCGAGTGTGTTCTATGTGATGATTGGCAAAATATTAGGGAAAGTGAGTAGGGAGCAGCCAAATCAACAAGTAATGATGAAAAAGTATTGGCGGAATTCATGCATTTAAGGTGAATTTGATTTATGCTTCAATATTCATGTATCTCCTCATTCTCCATAAATACCCCTCCATAGAGCTTACACGGATGCAAGTTCCATACATAATTCTTTTGGCTTCCATCTATCCCTATAGAGACCATTCATCATATGCCATCGCAGCTCTTCAAAAGTATGTTTCTGCTTTTACGGATGTTGAGTGCTTGCAGACCTCTAGCGAAATATGCAATGCTCAATGAAATATGGATCATACTTCTCTAAATCTTTTAGAGCTCAAATTAGAGTTTCTCAAAGATTGTTCGACACCACAAGAGTTTCATATACGTTGTGCCATGCTGGGACATTTGCAGATGTGACAAGACATTATAGTCAACTCCCCTATTTGAAGTTGATTTCTTCCTTGACTGCTTGGGAATAATTAATTCATTAATAACTATAACTTCCTTATTTTTATTTGATGGCCTTTTTTTGGTGGGGGTGGCAGTATTCTACTACTCATTAATTGTGCTTAGACCACCTCATTTGACTTGAATTCTTCTGATAAAATTATTCCTTAAGAATACCTCAACATTTGACAGGAATATCTCTGGCGCAAACTGCCAGAAATGACAGGCGGAACTTCCGGTGGAAAATTCGTCGGTTTACTTAAACTTGACGAAAATTGCCAGTGCAAATTCCACCGGAAGGAAAAAAGTTCCATTTAAAAAGCTGCCAGAAATACCGCTGGAAGAAGCCCTATTTCCCTTTCCGTGGTTGTGCTTTTCTCATTTCACTCCTACTCGCTCTCGCTCTGTCAGTCGCCTCCGCCACCAACATTCACCTTTGTCGCTGAACGCCGCCTCCATTGTCGTCGTGTTCACCTCTCTGTCTTCGTCGTTTGTTGTCGTCATCGCCTTTGTGTTGACTGCTCCGTCGTCGATGTTCCCCGCTCAGTTGCCAGAAATATGTTGTAAGTAACCCATTTAGTTTTTTTTTCTTTTTGTCATGGATGTTCTCTATAAACATTTGCAAGTCATTGTACCATGGTGTATGTATTTTGTTGATGATATTATTCTTGTTGATAAGACTAGAGAGGAAGTTCATGTAGAATGTTTTATGGTGTAAGTTTCTGACGTTCTATCCGATGGAAAATCCAAAAATATTTGCATGATTCTCTATGTAGACATTTGCAATGTTTTATGGCGTAAAATGTTGGTCATTAAACGAGATGCATAACATTAACTTAGTGTTTGCAGAGATGAAAATGCTCATGAGTGATAGTCGCCTTAGATGGTTTGCTCACATAAAACGGCGACCTCCTAATGACCTAGTTAGAAAAGTAGAGGTATTAGATTTGGCTTATAATAAGAAAGGTGTAGAGGTATTAGATTTGACTTATGTCAATAAATCCACCGGAATATCTCCGACGCAAACTAGTTTTTCACACAAGTACCTCCCTGAAGACCTATACACGCCTTTTTTGGTGTGGTAGGATTGAAGACTACAGTTGCGGTGTCACCCGACACCGACCGTGCATGTCTTTCTTGATGTTGCGCGCAAGCTAAAACTCCTTATATTTCCACTAAACAGGTGAGACACCGGGAGGCTGCCAGATTTTTCATTGACAGGAGACATGTGTGAAATAGCATTATTCGATTTACAAATCAATTTGAATTCAATTTATTTTCCTTCAAAGATAAATCTACAATCTCTAATATTTTCAAATTATATGAAGGCTATGTTATGGATATTTTAAATCAAAGAAGTTGGATGTATAACCGATTGACACAAAGATGAAAGACATTAATAGATGAGTTCATTAATGAGATGAATTTTTTTCATTCAAACAGTTTGTGAACTGCCTAGCTTCAAAACAGATGGAATGTTTTGATGTCTATATTCTAAAAATAAAAATAAAGTGCATATAAGATCAGATGATTCAATTGTTGATCTATATCGTAGAGGGTTAATGTCAGACTATTGATATTGAACTTCTCATAATAAGTATGAGCCATATTTCGATTATTGATGCGATCCGTCTACAAGTTTTAAGATAGGTGAGGAAGAAAATATCCGACCTCTTGAGGACTTAGTTTATGATGTAACTGAAGCACAATTTGAACAATACACAAAAGAGTTAGCAAATAAGGAGCCACAGAATTTTTATGATTTGTTGTATGCTGCCCAATAAATAATATGGAAGGGGTGCACTACTCACTCAGAGTTATCTATTGCAGTGAAAATATTAAACATCAAGGCAGAATATAATGTGCCCCGTGAATGTTTTAATCAATTCGGGAATCGAGGTGAAATCGAGAATCGAGGCGTTTTGGCCAAGCAAGGCGAGGCGTAAGCCTCGAGGCAGATCGAGGCGTAAGCCTAAAAAATAATAAAAATAAAGTAATTAACAGTGCCGAGCATATACCGCTCGGTACCGAGCGGTACATACCGCTCGGTACCGAGAATGTATAGCTCGGAACTGAGCGGTACTAGCTCGGTACCGAGCATGTACTGAGCAATATCGAGCATGTACCTAATGGTACTGGCTTGGTACCGAGCATGTACCTAGTGGTACCGAGCATGTCTTTTCGTCCTTGTTATTCGGCTTCGTTGCTTCATAGGAGGTGTAGAGATTATACGCGTCACTTCTTTGGCTCCTTTGTGGCTGTTCGACTGTGCTCCTTCGACGACTTTACCTTCCTGTCGGATCATAAGTTACAACATTTTGATAAGAAGAAACAACGGGAGCTCGTTGGCTCGCTTGCTTTGAAGGTAACTTTTTCCCTTTCGAGGCGTTGCCTCGATGCGCCTCAGCGCCTCACGTATTGAGGCGTACGCCTCCGTGGAAAAAGGCGTAAGCCTCGCCCGGACGTTCGAGGCTTAAGCTTCAGTTTGCCCGACCTCCGCCTCGATTCGAGGAGCACCTCGAGGCGTCCGCCTCGAACGCCTTTTTAATCGATGGTTGTATCAATGAATGCATGTTATACTATAAAGATGATTTCTCAAAGATAGCATGCCGTCATTGCAATGCACCAAGATCTAAACCAAAGCCTTTGACAAAAAAAGCTAAAGAAAGTACCCGTTAGTAAGATATTTTACTTACCTATAATTTTTAGACTACAACGATTATATGCATCCATTAAATCTGTTGCATATATGAGATGACATAATAAACACACTCGCAATAAAGAGTTATTACACATCCATCAGAAGCAGAGGCCTAGAAAAACTTTAATCGTACAGATCCCACCTTCACCATAGAATCAAGAAATATAAGATTAGATTTATGCACAGATTGTTTGTTAGGAAATACTTGAAGAACTCAAGTAAACCCTAACAAGAGAGATAAAACAGTAGGAACGAACCAGAAATCTGATGGGTAAAGAAAAATAGTAGTGTTTATTGAAGAAATTGAACTAATAGAAGATATAATAGCAAGATACAATTGATCCTCAATTTGAGAGGAGGATCTATCACTCACAATCCCTAGACGCCATTAGAGCCCAAGTTTCCAAACTCCAAAAACAAAACATCCCAATAATCATGCATAACCCTAACCCTAATCTCTCTTCCTACTCAAGCATGCAAATAATCCTCATTCAAAAAAAAATTCCTCCTAAGAAAAATTACTCCCTTAGCCCTAGCCGCCCACTCCCTTTCTATTTGAAATCCTAAATAGGGCCCACCTATGCTTGGGCGACAACTTCAAGGGGGAAAACCCTTGGTCCAACTCTTATAAATCTGGGTCAGCCCTTAGCAAGGGACCGGCTAGACCAATCCTTTAGGGACCGGTCTAATAATACCCCCCTTCCCAAAGAATCACCTTATGATCAAGCTGAAAGGAGGGAAACTACTGTTTCACCCTCTTATAAGGTTCTCATATAGTATCGTAGTCCGG